AAGCTCCAGACTACCATGTTCAGAGACCTCATGTAAATATTCAAGGGCACGGGGAACAAAATGGAATCCTGAGGCACTCCACAAGCCAGATCCCAACCCCACAGAAGCCCTTTGTGGCTGATCACACAAAAACAGTACACCCATTTGCCCCCAAAGTTTGCCCCAGCACCTCCTATGGAGGCATTCAGCAGCAGCAGTAAGGCTTCCAAAAGAACTTTCTGGCACCAGGTATGATCACAGTTGTACAGAAAAACTGCAGTTGACCTGTGTGCTTTATTTTTTTGTAAAGTTTTTACTGTTTGATTACTATTACACTCCGAGCTAACCAGACTTTCCCAGGGAATCATCTGCAACTGTGCCTTATTTCAGAACATGGGTCTTTTTCTTAGAACAGTCACTGCTTGCTCCAGAAAGTCCACAAAAAGACACTGAAACACAATGGGCTCCCAGCTCCTTCCAAATAACAATTGCAGTCATGCAAATAACAAACCCAGTCTAGGAAGCACTGCTTCATAAGGTCTGTGTTCAAGTCCCAGCCTCAGTTCTCCGTCAGCACTGCAGGAATAACAGTGGTCCACCTCACAGGGTCGTTTGGTGTGCAAACACATCAAAGACTGCAAAGCCCCTTACAAATCGAAATCACTGTATAGAACATACAGTAGTTAATAATGTACCCAATAGGAGAGCTAGATTTGAGTTCAAAAGCAACTTAAAGACCAATGAGATTCCCAAGGTATAAGCTTTCGAGAGTCAAAGCTCCCTTTGTCAGATACCAAGAGAGCTTTGACTCCCAAAAACTTACACCCTGGAAATTTTGATGGTCTTTAAGGAGCTACTGGAATAGAATCAAGCTCTTCTACTGCAGTCAAACATGGCTACCACCTGAAACTAATGTTCCCAATAGTACTACATTTTAAAAAACTTACAGTGACAGAATTGCTGGGGATTTCACAGGTGCCCAAATCTCTGCTAGGAGGAGGAAACTTGCCTAAAACTAATCATAGTCTCCACACTCAGATATACAGTGAATCAGAGTTCCTCTGGCCCATCTTCCAGCTTCAAGGATGAATCCACCTAACTACCCTAAACAAGCACTTTGGCCTCTAGAGATTAAGATGCTGCCACCCCCATCCCAGGAAGCTCTGCCTTTCCACCCCCAAGAAGTCTAAATCTTTCTGGGTCTGTCTTCTCAACAAGAGATAAGCCACTGATAAGGAAAGCAACTGATCCCAAAGCTCTTAAGGCTACATATGCATATTTCATGTACTTGAAAGCAGCAGTCAGACTTCCCTGGCAACAGATTTCTCTTCTCCAAGCTGTACAAAACCTTCCCCAAGTCCTGGAAGCCCTGGGCACTTCCCCAAGTCCTGGAAGCCCTGGGCACTCCTCAGGGGCTTCAGGCTGCTCCCTGCTGGAAAGAGGACACTGGGTTAGATGACCCTTTGCTTTGAGTTCTTCAGCCTTTCCTCATATTCTCCAGACCTCTGAATAATGTTAGTCACTTTTCTTCAGATTCTTTCTGGCACTTGCCACTCTGCCTCGAAGTTTGGCAACTGGAATGGAATACGGGATTCAAAGGCCTGACCAACACTGGGGTGGAGGTGGGCGAGGGCTCCTCCCACGTATTACTCAGATTCCCCTCCCAATGCAAACCAGCACAGTGGGGTGCTTGCATTCTGCTTCTGGTACTGCTGCTGCACTGCTGCCTCATATTCACCTTGCCTCTTGGGCTTCTTACTACAAAGTCCAGCATTGGCGGGGGGGGGGGGGGCTACATGCAAAGCATTGCATGGATTGAGGGGACTGCTTCAGAAGCATGAAGGGACACAGAAGGCAGGGCGCGGGGCTTTGAAAAAGCTACCCTGTGCAAGTGCTCTCTGGCTGGCCAACAGCCAGCTGCCAACTGACACATGGCAGAGGGCAGAGAGGAAGGAGGCTGCTGGAACCACAGGCTCCCGTTTAGCACACACTGCAAAGGTCTTCACGCAAGCAGGATACTACCATAAGAGAGGCAGCATGTGGCGGGGGCTGAATAAACCAGGCCAGTGTGGTGTAGTGGTTAAGAGCAGCGGACTCTAATCTGGAGAACTGGGTCTGGCTCCCCACTGCTGGGGAATGAAAGCTGCTGGGTGACCTTGGGCCAGTCACAGTTCCCTCACAACTCTCTCAGTCCCATCTACTTCACAAGGTGCCTGTTGTGAGGAGAGGAAGGGAAGGAAATTGTAAACCACTTTGAGACTCCTTAAGGTAGAGAAAAGGGGACTCTTCTTCTCCTTCTAGTGGGATCTCTCTCGAGCAGCATGAAATTGCCAAGCTGGCACCAAGGAAAGCTTCCCTGGCAATATGCCCCACAAGCAATGGTTAAGGAGGCTTTTGCACTCTTCAGTGCAACAGATGCCAAGTTCTATGAAAGGCACACAAAGATTCCAGTAAAAAAATATCCGGCCACTTTCAGTGTCAGAGATACCTGTAAAACAGGATCCGAATAGTGCGGAAATGCCAAGTCATATGCCACAATTAGGCATGCTCCTCTGGTTCAGTGCCCCTTCTTCCCACAAAGGACTTTGTTTTGAAGGTCATGGACAGTGGCCCTGAAACCATCCTAGGACAATGCATAGGAGATACCTGCTTCCACTCTACTGAGGTATTTACTTTGGATGCTGCCCAGTGGCTGGCTATAAGGCCATCTGCTCCATAAAACAAGGTGCAGCCACTCCCTCAGGGGGGCAAATTTTAGGAGCAAAAAGATGGACACATTCTGATCAAAAGTTTCTGTTCCTCAGCCCTCTGTGGCAATGGTAAGAAGGAAGGCCCTCCATGACAGATTTCTAGAGAGGTTTTTTTTCTGTGGTGATGCTATCTTGTCCAAGATGTCCCCACAGAGGAAGAACAAGCTTCTCTAGGAAGTCAGGTAGCTGATGCCATCCTGACATGAGTGCACATCGAGGGAAAATGACACACACCCAAATCTGGCATTCTCCAACCATGGTACAGAGAGCTACAATTGTGGTTTATTAATTGCACTGCCAGAAGAATAGAATTGGCATATAAGTCCTTTCTCAATATCTATTTATTCAGAGGAAGAGGAGGAGGAGGAGGAGTTTGGATTTATACCCCGACCTTCACTTGGAGTCTCAGAGCGGCTTACAAGCTCCTTTCCCTTCCCCTCCCCACAACAGACTCCCTGTGAGGTGGGTGGGGCTGAGAGAACTCTGACACAAACTGCTCTTTTTTCAAGGACAGCTGTGCCAGAGCTTGTGACTGACCCAAGGTCACATCAGCAGGTGCAAGTGGAGGAGTGGGGAATCAAACCCGGTTCTCCCAGATTAGTCCATGCACTTAACCACTTTAATCCACCTTTCTCTGATAAAGGACTCAAGGTGGGTCTACAATGTCAGGTTGACTCAGGATATCCTGTGACCTTCTTTCCCAGCTCCCATCTTGGGGCTGGGAACTGTATTAGACCAGCCTTTTTGGCAAGCCGGCTTTAGTCAAGTATAAAGTATGTGAATGCGCCCCTCTTCGGTACAAATACATATGGGTGAGGCTTTGCCTCTAGCCTGCCAGGCCAAGTAGAAAGGAAACAAGACAGCACTGTGGTGACCAGGACAGCAGAGCAGGCTGGGCCTTATGCCACCACCAAGCCCACCACCCTTTTGACTCCTGCCCACGTGTACTAGTCTCTCCATCTGCCAGAGCCACTTACAGCTACTGTGCCCACAGACTGGGCAAACCAGGGTCCCCAGCTCAACTATTCCCCCTGCGCCAACGTGGCAGGAATCAAGCACGGCAATCTAACACAACCTGGCAGCTTTCTGTGTCGCTTAAACCCACATCATGGTAAACAACGGGAGGGGCATTTCCAGGTTTCAGAAGCAAGATCTTCTAGCAAAAACACAGCACCCTCCTTCCCACCCTACCCTTCATGACCCACTCTACAATGGAGAGCAGCTTTGGGGCGGGTTCTGAGCCACGGCAGCTTCTGCAAAACACCCTCCTGGTGTGGAGACATCTGGAGCAGCTCCAGATTCCTCTCAGGATCTCTGACCTCATGACTCAGCTGGAGGAGGAACATGCCCACTGAACCGGCAGTAGTCTTTGGCAAAGACTTAGTTTCAGACCATGGGGGAAGGGGGCACACACCTGGCACTGCTGGCAGGAACTAGCCTGCTGGGCTCACCCATAACAGCCAAAGGGCATCCAATTCCCCTCCCCATAGCCTAGTGCTGGAGACCTCCAGCACCAGCCCAAAGGAATTTTCCCACCTGTAGAGATCTGTTCAAATGATGTCTAAAGCTTACTTTTTAGAAAAGGAGGGAGAGAGATAGAGATAGAGGGAAGCCTCACCCCCCCCCCCCTTTGGAATCCACAGCCCAACACAGCTGTTTCAAGCCAGGCCAGGCCACGGTTGGCAGGAGGAAAGTGGGAGAAAGGTGGGTGCCTTGGTAGTTCAACCTAAGGGGCTCCCTTGGATATTAGCTCTCCTCAAACCCAGGCCAGGGAAGGGCCAGTCCCTAATTTCAGCAGAAAGGGTGTGTGAACAAGTGGCATTAACGAAGAACCCAAAGAATAGGCAGGAGCGATGCAAGCAACTTTTGCCAAACAATTCTACACCTGGCTTAGCTTGGACAGGACTCTCAACAGCAGGGAACAGCCTGGCAACGAGTCCCAGGAAGAGTCAAACTAGGGCACGCCAAGTTTCAGGCTAAGGCACAGCTTCGGAGAGAAGTTTAAACCTCCCTTTGAGCCAAGGGAGGGCGAAAATTGGACTCGGTTTCAGTCCCAGAGTCTTGCCCATGAAGAAGAGTGAAACTGTCCATATACAAAGTACCCACAACCACAACCACGCAAAGAGCTTGCTTTGAGTTAATACCCCCTCCCCAAAAAAGTCTATCGAGCATGTGCAGAGAGCCCCGCCCAAGACAAGGGCTCCCGGCCGCGCAGGGGGTGTGGCTTCCAGGAAGCCCCGGCGCCGCTTCCCTCCCCCGCGCTCCCTTTACCTTTGGCCTTGGGGCGCCCTTCTTGCTTCTTGCCTTCGGCAGGGGGCCCCCCAGCCTGGCCCTTCTGCTGCTTCTTCTTCCGCCTGCCCCGCAGCCAGCTGAAGGCCCTGCGCAGGCTGGACGAGCCGCCTTTGGATTTCTTCTTCTTGGGGGGCGAAGCTGCCGGGGAGGCGCTCCCCTTCTCGGAGGAAATCCAGGTGTCGTCGGGGGACGCCGCAGGTGCGCTCTTCCCGGCCATTTCCGATGGGTGGGTGGGCGGGAGAGGTGGAGGGCTTGGCCCCCGGCGGAGAGGCGCACGCCGCCGCCCCCTCTTCCGGTCCTCCTCCGCGGCTGGGGTCACTGGCCGGCCGAGGGAGCCACGGCAGGAGGCGGGAGCGGGATCCTCATGGAGGTGAGTTCCTCAGCCGTCCGCCTTGGCTCGCCGAAGGGGCCCTCGGTCCGCTGCGCACCGGTTCCCGAGTTTCCCCGGCGCCTTCCGAGTGGGGCTGGCCCCCCTGGCAGCCCGAGGGAGCCTTTTCCGCCGCGCCTGCCCCCGAATCCGTCCCCTTCTTTCGCGTCTCCCTGATCGGCCAGGCGCGAAAGCAGCAGCCGCCGCCGGGGAAAGTTTCGCCCGGACGGGAGGGTGTGTGGGGCGGCCGGGCGGGGCCTGCCGAGCGCGCCGGGGTGTGGAGAGGCTCCCCTCCTCCAATACTCCGCCTCCGCGGCGCACGAGCGGCTGCTCTCTGCCTGCCAGTCGGTGCTCCTCCGGACTGGGTCCCCGCTTCGACTAGGAGGAGATCCCGGGCGAGGTGAGGAAGCGGCGAGCAGGTAGGGCATCGGCTTCGTTCAGCCCCGGAGCCTCCCCCCCCCCCCCCCCCCCCCCCCCCATTTTAGCCTGTTCAGACAGGCAATTTCACGAGCAAAATTAAACGGTTAAGGTTTAACGCCCGGGTATTGTGAATAGGGTTAGGCTGGATCAAATGGTGTTTACTTCTATGTGAAGTTCAGGACGGCAACTTGAAGTTAATAACACACTTTTGGAATAAACAAGAGTGCCAAGGAGCATATACAGAGGGCTTTGCCAGTGCCAGGAGCTCGAGGTAGCCTATCTAATCTGGAACTGGGGGTCTTTTTAAATATTTAGGTTAGAGTTCTAACAGGCCAATACTTTTTTCTTTAAAAATCAGCTCTTTATTAGTGTGTTTAAACTTCTCATTGAACATGCTGAGTAAAAAAATGTTCTTTGGGGGCAAGTGCTCTGATAGAGCTACAGGTTTATACATTCCATGTTAGCCACCCATAGAATTTATCTATCAGGGTACTTTATTAATCTCCACTGGGTGCAGACTCAAAGTGGCTTACAATATGAGAAAACAGTACCAACTAAGGTTGCCAACCAGCAGATGGGGCCTGGAGATGTCCTGGAGCTACAGCTAATTTCCAGACTATGGAGATCACCGGTACTTATGATATTTTTCCAGCTTCCCCGTATCACGCATTACTGGTTAGTAACAGCTGCAATCTAAGCTGAAGACTTGACGCTTGTATCCCTGTGTGGAAATTATCTGAACTGTGTCTGTTAGCTTACAGAAAACAAGGGACAATTATCTTTTTTTTTTTGTCAGGATCAACCAAAATAGCACAAAATGGTGTGCAAGTTATTGCATTCATCGGAACTCTTCATCAGGCCAGGGGAAATTCAGGGCAAATCTCCAGGGGTGGCGACTACTTGGTCCTGCTGGCACTGGATGTAGGAAGAGCTGGGGTTCAACCCAAAGCCCCCCAAAGTGGCCAGGGACCCAGCTGTCCTCCCACACAGCTTTCCCAGTGGACGTAATGATGGCCACAAGCATGGATGGCTTTAAAAGGAGACGAGAGATTCATGGTAACAACATCAATATTTATTATTTATTTGATTTTTACCCCATCCTCCCCGCCGAGGCAGGCTCAGGACGGCCATCAGCGGCTACTAACCATGGTAAGTAAGGGGACCTCCATACTGAGGGACACTAAACTTGGGAGCACCAGTGCTAAGAGGCAACGGCATGCCTTTATGTTCTGTTGTTGGTCCTCCAGAATAACTGGTTGGAGACAGGATGCTGGAGTAGATGGACGACTGGTCTGATCCAGCAAGGGCTATTCTTCTTATGCCTCTCAGTCGTCCTTGATCTGTTTGGCAGATGTGCCCAAAAGCTGATACTGCAGTCCTAACAAATAGTTTAGCTGCTTGAGGACTGAGAGTGGGGAGTTCCCAGGGCCTGGGTGTGGATAGGATTTGCCCACCTCTGTTTTAGGGACTTCAGGATGGGATGAAAAGCAGGTTGGTGTGGTGGCCAGGCCTCAGGCTGTGCCCCTGGGTACAGGGACAGAGCAACAGGCGGAACAAGAACCACACCCTCTGCGGATGAGAAGCCAGCAGTTCACTCAGCTCCTTTCTGTGCTAATCTGTTAGGGCCTGCAGCATCTTACTTAGAGATGCTTAAATGTACCTACTGTGTAAAAATGTTATCTTTTCCCCCTGCTTCAAACTGCCATGGCAGCGATGGCCCAAGCTAGCCTGATTTGGTCATATCTTGGAAGCTAAACGAGGTCAGCCCTGATTAGTACTTGGATGGGAGACCACCAAGGAGTTCCAGCGTCGCTATGCAAAGGCAGGGAATGGCAAACTACCTCTGTTAGTCTCTTGCCTTGAAAACCCCATGAGGGTTTACTATAAGTCAGCTGCAACTTGACCGCATTTTATACACACAGAGAGAGAAGAGATTGGATTTATACCCCACCCTTCACTCGGAGTCTCAGAGCGGCTTACAAACTTTGTAAGCTGCTCTGAGACTCTTTTGGGTAGTGAACGGCGGGGTATAAATCCAATCTCTTCTTCTTCTTCCTTTCCCTTCCCCTCCCCACCACAGACACACTGTGAGGTAGGTGGGGCAGAGAGAGCTCTTTCAAGAACTGCCCTTTCAAGGCTTGCCCAAGATCATCCAGCAGCTGCAAGTGGAGGAGTGAGGAATCAAACCTGGTTCTCCCAGATTAGAGTCCACACACTTAACCACTTCACCAAACTGGCTCTCACCAAGATGGTGAAGAATGCCCCAGAATAAGACAGCACCCACACAACTTCTGATAGGACCTTGGCTGTGGCATTAAATATGGTTGCTACATGACCCAGGCAGCAGACGTTTGTGGTACCTCTGGGCTGGCACATGAGGGGTCCACGGGCCTGGCTGCAGCCTAGGGTTAGGGCATGTGTCTCCTGTCCTGTGTTGCTGCTTGCCTCTGTACTCGAAGACCAACTGAGTTTGAGGCAAAATGTACTGCAGAAAACATCAGAGGGTCGCTCTCGACCTGGACTTAAGGCACATTTGCCAGATGGGCTGGCCCTTTACCTTCAGCTGTGACAATCCAGCCCCTCCTCTGCGCTTTTGAGCCTCTTGTGGTTCTACCCAAGGGCCCCCAGGAGCCTACATCCTGTGTTGAATCAAGAATGCCTAGTATGCTCACCAAAGGGCACTTGCTTAGGCAGGGGGGGACTAAACCTCTTTCAGATGTCTTTCAGTGTCTACTGTAGATGTGCCCAGAAAGGGAACAGAAATGGCAAATCTCAGCCCTCTATCCTCTAGACCAGTAGGCGTTTGTGTGGGAATTTGCTGGGCCTGAATCCCCACCTAGCTTCAGGCTAGGCTTTCCAGTGGCTCCTGTAAAGCTAGACCTTTGGGATGAAAGACAGACAGCTCTGCTGAATGTGCTTTCAGTAAGACATGTAATTGGAGCTTTTAAAATAGTGCAGAGCAGTCCAGAGTGCAGGGAGAGCATAAGGAGACTCTGCCCGGAGATGAAGTGCCTGCCCTGAATATTTGGTGCTTTAAACTTAAAATTCAGCTGTCTAGCCTGGATGGCAAAGGCCTTCATCAGAGGTCTCGCTGTTTATCCAGGAAGCAAGTCTGTAGTGGAATCCATGTGTGTAATTTATACAAGACAAATTCAGAGCCCCTCGCACTGTATCAACATCTTGGCTAATAAACAGCCTGAAGGATGTAGCAAAGGAGATTGCCAAGAGCGACTGGAAAGAAGAGCTTGTGTACATGACTCAGCTTCTCTCGGCGAGCTGCTTGCCTTGTAGTGATGCTGGTGATCAAGGATGCTGCTGTGCATCTTGTCCCTGTTGTTACTGGAGCAAATTCTGATAGCTCAGGATGCTTCTCTGTATTCTTGCGGTTGCAGACTCACAAATGGCTTTCCACACAGATCTGCATGCACAAACATGTGACATCTTCTTTATTCACATCAACCACTTACACTCAACAACAGCGGTAATCCTTCATCTTTTCCCCCAGTGTACCTCAGCCAACAGCAGTGTCTTGGTAGCACCCTCCACACCCAGGCTTCTTGGTGGCCTCTGCAGCTGCATCTTCTCCAGGGGCATCTCTGCTGGAAGATGTTTTTGTGGGATGAGAGCTGATTTTAGGAGTTGATTTTAAAATATTAAGGGTCATATTTTGCTAATTTTAAATATTGAAGAGAGCAGGCTAAATTTGCAGTTAATGAATGCATAGAAACATGCAAGGTAGACAATGGGGGGACATCAGTTGGGCACAAGCCATTTGCTAATACTATAGCAATTTTCACCCCACACTGAATCTTCTACCCAGTTATATTGTGGGCCCACAGTATACTAGCACATGGCAGGGGGAAAAGGTTGGCCTGGGGTTTTCCTTACCAACCTGTTTTTACTGTTGTTTTTTAAAAATAATTTATTTATCTATTTTCCATAACAAAATGAAAAAGTATATTCATATACAACATATTTTTGGAGTTAACTTTACACATTTTTTCCATCCATCTATCTACTTTTTGCCATCTTTTTTGAAACACATTCTCGTCTTTCCCAGACAATATAATGATGATGATGATGATGATGATGATGATAATATACTTTATTGCCATTGTACATAGTACAACAAAATTAAAGGTGCAATCATTCGGTGATCTACAACCATACTCATACACTCACACAACCATTCACAACCATCCCATAACTCCCTTAAGGTTCACATTGCAACTTAAACCACCAGTGTCACCCAATATCATATTTACTTTGTCCATTTCTTTTATTTCCATAATTTTCATAGTTAACTCTTCTCTACTTGGTATTTTATCCGATTTCCAACATTTTGCTATGAGAATTCTAGATGTGGTAAGGATATACAATATTAAACATAAATCATTATGCTTGATCCCTTCTGGTAACATATTAAGCAA